GATGCTTCGTTGGTTCGAGAACTCACCGCTTTGTTCTCGAAAGTTTGGTCGAAAGAGCAAGTTCCGTCATCTTGGGGTGAATCGATAGTCGTCCCCATCTTCAAAAAGGGCCTGCGCACAATCTGCTCCAACTACAGAGGAATAAGTTTAGTCCCCGTCGTTTACAAGCTGCTGGTGTCCATCATACTTCGCAGGCTATCCCAAGCACGCGAATTGTTGCAATGAGAAGAACAAGCTGGGTTTCGCCCTGGTCCCGGCTGCATCGATCAAATCTTCACACTTCGCCAGATCCTCGAGCTCCGCCATGTGTATCAGAGGCCAACGATTACTGTGTTCCTGGATATCCGTGCAGCCTTCGATTCTGTCAATCGTACAATATTGTGGCATTGTCTACTGGGGAATGGTGTCCCCGAGAAGTTCATCTCCATACTGTGCGCTCTATATAGTCTGATCTTGGGCAGGGTTAGGGCTTATGGCAAGTTTTTGCCTACCTTTATGGTCTCCAGTGGAGTTCGACAAGGATGCCCTATCTTTCCCTTCCTATTCAACTTTGCCACTGAGGATGTCTTGAAGAACGCTCTAGGCGATTCGTTGAATGCTGGCGTTGAGCTTCTCCCTGTAGCCGAGTTGTTGATTTGGATTATGCTGATGATATCGTCTTGCTGGGTGACGACCCACACGTCGTCCAAATTGCATTAAACCGCTTGGCGATTGAAGTATCAAAGTACGGCATGTTGACGAAGTCCTGGAAATCGCGTTCATAGGACACGACTTAGAAGGTGTGGATCTGCTCCCAGGAGAACGACTTCTTGACTTAGAGTATGCTGATGATATTGCCCTAATCTGTGACAGCTCACCAACGTGTCAAGCGGCACTGGACAGATTAGCACTAGCTTTCCGTCCCTTCGGGCTTTGTTTCGCACCCACGAACTGCCAAGCGTTCTTGCAAGATTGGTCTGGACCGCCTCTTACGCTGACCGTTGGTGGTTATTAGCTAGAAGTACCTGGGAAGTTGTATCAGCGCCCGTGGGATTGAAGATGAGATCACGAACCGTATAGCAAAAGCTCGGGGCGCTTTTGTTAACCTTCGCCACTTATGGCGACGGCGCGACATCACTCTTGCCCTGCAGGGTAGAGTGTACAATGCAGCCGTACGTTCGACCCTACTGTACGGTTGCGTAACCCTGCCCCTAAGATCGGCGGACATGAAGAGGCTAGTTACATTCGACCATCGGTGCCTTCGCAGCTTGGCTCACATCTGGTGGGAACACCGCGTGAGTAACGAGCGTGTTCGACGCATTGTTTACGGCCCAAGAAAAGGATCTGGACCGATCAGCACCCTTATTTCCCGCACCAGGCTCCGATGGCTCGGCCACGTGTTACGCATGCCAGCCCACCGACTCCCTCGACGTGCTTTGTTTGCTCACCGGGGATGTGGGTGGAAGAAGAGGAGAGGTGGCCAAGCGATGACTTGGTCCAGAGGAATGAAGGCCCTCACTTCTGAGCTGGCCTCGGTTGTAGCGTCTCGGCTCCCTGGTTGGGGTCCGAAAGACGATGAACACGTTTGGTTGGACACACTTGCTGATATGGCTAGGAGCCGACCTCAGTGGCGTTCGTGCTGTGAGATTCTTTGTCCCACCTCCCCCTCCAACCACGATCTCATTATTTAGGTTTATATAATTTCGCGTAACATTTTTTGATGCACAGTAGTCGGCCGTTAGCTTACCGGAACGATGCCAATCCGCTACCGGTAGCTCAGCCGGCTTGCACCAGTTGCTTTTTTCTCCATTTTTCTATGTATTGCGGCACAGTAGCTGAGGTGTTCCCCACCTCTAGCTAACGTGTATCCTGACTGACTGACGGTATGTACTTTTCGCCACCCAAATGCATGGCTCTCTTCTAAGACTGGCAGGTGCCTCTACCTGCACTCACGCTTGCTGGTGAGACACTAGAGGTTGCGGAAAGCTTTGTATACTTGGGAAGTTGCATCAATGCTGCAGGGCTTTTGGAGACAGATTTCCATGCGAATCTCGAGAGCAGGCCTCGTTTTTCTAGGCTGAGGCATTTGTGGCGTCGCCACGACATTCGTCTCTCCATCAAAGGGTGGGTCTATTGTGCAACTGTTCGTGCTGTACTGTTGTATGCGGATGCGAGACCTAAACCATTCGTAAAGATGACTTGCGCATGATAGCCGTCTTCGAGCACCGCTGTCTGCGGTCCATTGCCCGTGTGTGGTGGCAGCACCACGTAAGCAATGTGGAAGTTAGACAGCTTGTCTTGGGTCGCGGAAGCCACTTGCTCGAGGAGCTCATCTCACTGCATCAACTGCGGTGGTTGGGACACGTATTGCGCGTGCCTGTCCAGGGTTACGCGCGCGGTGCGTTGTTTGCACTTGCTGGACAGGGCTGGAAGAAACGGTCTGGTGGACAGCCTACAACATGGAGAAGCCGCGTGAAAAAGCTGACGAAACAGTTGGTCTCGGCCGGTTGTTGTCGACTATCTGGTTGGGGTCCGAGAGATGCGGATACTTGTTGGTTGAAGACTTTGGAAGCCATGGCTTAAGATCGATGTCAATGGCGGACGTGTGCATCGGTTTGTTGCGGTGTGCCTTCTTCCTCCCCCTAAAAAAAGAACACACTGAAAAATGTCAAAAGCTGTGTGTGGTAAAATTGACAAAAAAGCAGTTCTTGTTGCTCTTTTCTTATCATTCATATTGTTTTCCTATTCAGCCATGATTCCGATGGCACAATATCTGTACCACAGATTGTGTAACATATATATATATATATATATATATATATATATATTACGCAATCTGTGGTACAGATATTGTGCCATCAGAATCATGGCTGAATAGGAAAACAATATGAATAATAAGAAAAGAGCAACAAGAACTGCTTTTTTGTCTATATATATATATATATGTATCCATGTGCCCAACCAACGCAAGAAAAAAGGTGTGCATTCCTGTGCCCAATTGTGTAAAACACACTCGCTATTGTATGACCGACCCGCACTCGGAGATCTCTCGCCCACGGTGCGCCACTTCAACGTGGTAGTCGGAAAAACCGTCCAGATCCATCGGACTCACTGTACAACTTGCCCCCGAGTCAAACCGTTACCCAAGCTAAGTTAACTCTCGCCGCGGTGGTAAAAGCAAGTCCCCGCTATCTGTTCCGTTACTTATAAGAACATAACGTGTCAGCTGTATGCCGTAACGGCGTTTCGCTGCAGTGCGACCACCACCAGTCGCAAGCGGGCTGAGTATATCGCGAGGACCCCCACCCCTACGCGGATTCGAACCCCCGCCGCAAGATTACAAGACGATCGCGGTACCTCTAGGCTACGGGCTGTTAGTTCCTGGCTCACATTTGCACCGTATCCCTCTAACGCTGTACAGCGAATCAATTGAATATGGTTATGTTACCCGCAATTGAGTCTCGGGATTCACCTCATGGATTCTTGTTTTGGCGATCTGGCTGATCATTTGCAAGGACAGCGACTTGAACTTTTCTTGTGGTCTTAGTTACCTTGTAAAGACCCGGTCGTTTCAGCACCGAACTGGTACTGTTGTGGTATGTCCGTATTGCACTTGGATATATTTTAATAATAAGGTAATTAACTGTCAAGCTTGTTTTGTTTTCAACCCGGGGTTCTACGAGTTGCTCGAGCCCCAAGCAAATTTGCCGCTTACTAGATTGGTGCATCCAGGCTTTACCGGAAACCCTTAATTAATTTTGTCATATTCAACATAAACCCGACCTGCATACAAACAAAAGTTCGTTTACGTGTACACAGTATGCATGAAGTTTCTTTTGTAACAAAGAACGGCAGTCATGAACATTACAATATTGTGTTTATTCAGAGCGCTAGTTTTGCTGAATATTACGGTAGCGAGTATTAGTTAGGACTTGGTATAAACACAGTATTTCACGAGTTTAGATTACACAACAAAATTGATGCACTATTGGTAGTTGGTTGAAAAATTTTGCCAAGATGTCACAACAGTGCAACAATAACGCAACAGTGCAACTTTACTTAGCACATTTTGAGCAAATGTGTGACTGCAGCACATTTCTCGAACATTTAAGCAGTGGATGGTTCCATTTATGTTTATTTTTTAGATAACAAAATCTTCCTGTGCCATCTATATTCCTCTGCTGCCGGTATGCACGGGATGTCTCGTTTTGTAGCGCTTGTTCGTCGCTGAAGCATCCTCGAGATATCAACACAAGCTGTTGTTCTCAATGCTCTTAAACGCCATGATGCAGGATTTTACTTTCATCTGCGCTGATAAGCTATTAGCTACATCAAATAGCTCCTTTATGCTGCGTGTGATGAGCACATCATTTCGCGTTCATCCAGCGTCAAGTGTGTACATGTTCTTCTTATCACAGAGGCTTTACTTGTCTGCGCATATGAGTAAGCAAAGTAAGATTATATTTCTATACCATTAATCCCAAGACGATTTTAGTGCTTTGTGCAACGAGTACCGAATTCCTGATTACTTGCGTCCGCCCTCACTGGTTAGTCTGTCCTTCGGTTATTGTCAGTGGTTTTGCTTATATGCTCCATCCTTCACACTTTCGGATCTGACGGATTATCTAAGGTTGTCTAGTTGATGCCACTAAGATTAAGCACCTTATGATGCTAGATTTTCTCATTGAAGGTAATCAAGAGCCATTTTCTGCCGCTGCATAATGATTTGTCTGAGGATCCATTTGCCTTTTCCATCCTAAACCATATTATGGCTTCATTTTCTTGTACAGCATTATGCCATCAATCTGTCGCACACACTTTTATACTACAAGAATTGTCGATATATTTTGGGACCATTTATTCCAGTTTCGTATGCATTTTTTAGTTGGACAGTTTTTCAATTCATTTGCAGGTGATATTGAAAATTTCTCAAAATTAACCCACCCCGATACATGAATTTCAGCGTTGTGTGGAATCTTTATACATTAAATAGTTTTCACCGTACGTTCCATGTACCACAGGTGACGTCAACGATTCACCGTATTATCAAGTCACACTTGAACGAAATCCTGGTCAATCCCTTGGCCTCACTTTGGTTGAAAGGCCTGTGCCAATGTCTTGCCTATCGGTAGGTAAGTAAGTCTAAAAGCGCTCTTATTTGATTGTTACGCTTGTACAATTCAAACAAACTCAAGCTACAAGTAAGTCCGGCCTGGAAAGAAGATTGTCGTAGACTCTCCGAGCTCGGTATGTGGGTTGAAAACGTTTTACCTTTAGCAGTGTGTAACTGTAGTGGTGGTTCATTCAACAATGGACTGAGCTTATGGAGGTCAGTATTTACACAATATACATTCGCATGCATGTAAATAGTAGCGAGAGTTGGCTTACGCACCGCTACAGTCATTAATGTACATATTGCACTAATCCATAATTCGTAATGCGGCGTATATCGAGGATACGATTTTTCGTTTTTACTTCTGTTTATCTTCCTGTTAAGCGACATCACCTTGATTCGCCCATCACTTTTTTATCATTGAAGATCTTATGGTACGCTCCGGTGAATGCAGACTTGAGGGTTGATATGGGTTTAATGAGAAATATGTGTTATTACTTAACCAAAGTCCTACATGAAAACCAAATCACTAAAATGTGACGAAACGGTTTATTTTTGTACGCGTGGGAAGTGTAAGCTATTCAGGAAATAGAAACAAATGGTCCTGAGGACTACATTTTGTCTCTAATTTCCATTTTCGGTGATAACGTATTGCTTTCGTAGGTAGCTGTTGACTGACGATAGCACTGGAATGAAACTAATTAAATCAAATTATGTGGACACAAGAGCTGAGAGGTAGGCTTGTAGGTAAGCAAATGTAAATGCTGGATGGAAGTATATGGCGAAAAGAGTGAAAAGGTTCCATGACGGTACATCAGCGCTTCTGTGTTGACCTAGGCGACACTGATGAGAGGGAGTTGAATTATGATGAATGATAGTGTCGAGGATTGGATTCGGCCGTCCAAATTAACGTTGTGCACATGGTTCTCACAGGCACAAGTTGCGCCTTTAAGTGAAGGAAGAAGCATGCACATCAAAATAAATTAAAGCAGCATCGTCTTTTCAACGAAGTAGTAACGCATGTTTCGTGCCGATTAACTTGTCTCATGGTTACATGGAGGTGGGGAAAGAAAGCATCATATGGGCGAAGTGTAGAGTGAATTACATACTGTGTAGCGGATTCTTGCGTGATTAGAAAATTTAACTGAAACCTGCTATCCGTTGACAACTGCACTGCCCTTTTTCGGTCATTCAAATGACCTCGCATCGTGGCTGACATGAGGGATTATGCACCGAACCTTATCCTCAGAATACCCGGATACTCTGATCACCCTCATACACAATCCCATGTGCTTACTTTGGTAACTGTGCAATTCTCCGTAGGCTCACTCTTCCTGTGGCTTGCTGAACTACTTCCTCGTGGTGCCAGCTGGGTGGTTCGGGTTTACCCCGTTCCAGCAAAGTGTTTGGCGACAGTGTTCCACCTCCGTGGGGCATTGTATTCCAGCAATTGTGCTGACTTCATGGGGAGTATTGGGCCCCTGTTTAGTAATCTACCAAACCAAGACGCACGAGCTGAACATTCAGTCAACGCCTCCCAATGGACGCGATTCCCTAAATTCGTCCCGCTGCGTTGCGGGTAGGTTATTTAGCCAAAGGCTCGGAGTGGAGTCCCCTAAGTCAACTCTCTACTTCGGCTTGGGCAACCGGGTAGTATCACGCCCGCTCACAAAACCATGGACTGTACTACAACGCGCTCATCAGCTCATGTTCCTTCTACTCACTTTCATGCTACTTCATCACACGCCAATTGTTTGTTTGCTAACAATCCTCACTTTAGGTTACCCGATTCATCTGTTCAACAATCTGGCTGCGATTCCGGTTGCTCTACAGATCAAGGACTTCAACCTATGGCTCTCCTTCGTCCCCGATCCTCGTTCCGTCTGGCGTGCTTCAACGTTCGGACACTCATGCAGATTGGACAGCAAGCCGGTCTAGCGCGCACCCTAGATTCCCTAGACGTTGATGTCTGCTGCCTTTCAGAAACCCGATTGCAAGATCCCAGCACTGTGCTTAGATAGACATCCCCCACTGACCACGAAGCCAGATATCATCTTCGTCCTTCTGGAGATCCAGAAGCATCCTCAGCGGGTTTGGCTGGTGTAGGTATAGCACTAATTGGCAAGGCCGAGGCGGCACTACTGCACTGGTTCCCGATTAACGGCCAACTAGGTGCAGTTCGGCTTCGGGGTTCGTGTAGAATCAACAGGCACCGCGAAGAGAGACGCAACTTGTTTGTGATCTCCGTGTACGCTCCAACTGACTGCAGTGGCGACTCGGTCGAGGACGAATTTTACCGAGATTTACAACAGCTCTTGACTAATACTAAAATGTCGGATGTCGTTATCCTTGCTGGGGATTTTAATGCACAGGTTAGCCGCCTGTTACCATACGAACGCCACCTTGGTGGTCATCACGCGCTCGATGAGAACTGCTCTGATAACGGAGAGAGACTTCTCGCATTGTGCGAGGACAACCGTCTGATTCTTTCGAGCACTAGCTTCAGACGTACGAAGAAGCGTTCCGCATCGTGGCGTCCCCTTCTTCAACACAACCGTGGTCTCAAATTGATCACATTGCAATTAGCTTTAGATGGCGCTGCAGCGTACTGGACTGCAGGTCCTTTTGGTCCACTTTGTTGATTCAGATTATGCTCTGGTCTGCGCGAATATCTGTATGTGTTTCGGAGGATCCCGAAACACGAAGCACCGCAAGATTGATGTAAACAGATTAACTGTGTCCTCTGTCCAGGAGAGCTATCAGTCTTCACTGGCATATGCGCTCAGTCGCAATCCACCGCAAGAAGTGGAACAACACTGGACTTGTATACCTAAAGCAATGACCATTTACGGACAGTCATGCGACGGTCTAACTCGACGTCCTTTGAAGTCTTGGATCTCTGCTCGTTCTCTGGAGCTGTTCGAACGCCGCAAAGATATCCCCACGGAATCAGATAATAACGAGCGGCGCCGTTCCGCCAACCGACTGTTCAAGCAAACCCTACGCAAGGATCGCGAGACATGGTGGTCTGAGCGTGATTTAGAGATGGAGATTGCTGCCTTCTCTGGCAACACTCGCAGGCTTTTCCAACTCATCCGGTCCACTGGCCTCAGGAAGCCTGGTGTCAGTGAGCTCATTTGTGAGGTGGATGAGTCTCTGATCACCAACCAACAGAGGCGTGTGGACCGCTGGGCCGAGCACTTTCACCCGCATTTCAACTGGCCTCTATCATCCATCAGTACATGCAGTACACCTTGTTGTCCACCCTGGCTCGTCCCATTGAATCCACCCAGCGAAGCAGAAGTCTGCCTCGAGATTCGACGCTTGAAGCGCTTCAAGGCTGCCGGCTTAGACGGACTTCCTCCGGAGCTATTTAAGTATGGCGGTGTGGCGATCATTACCCAGCTAACCGGGCTGTTCACAAAAATTTAGCATGAAGAGAAAGTGCCTTCCTGTTGGGGCGAATCACTTATTGTCATAATTTTCATGAAAGGCGCTCGCACTTCATGTGCAAATCATCGCGGGATTAGTCTTATTTCGGTTGTCTCTAAGCTGTTGGCATCCATTCTGCTTCGTAGACCATCCCCAGTACGTGGATTATACTACCGTGAAGAACAAGCTGGTTTCCGTCGTGGCCGCAGATGTGTGGGTCAAATCTTCACGCTCTGCCAACTCCTTGAACATCGCCACATTTATCCCAGGCCCACTATCGTTGTATTCCTAGACACACGTGCCGCTTTTGACTCCGTTGATCGACCTGCTTCATGGCGTTGCTTACTAAAGAACAGGGTGCCAGAGAAATATGCCGCCATCTTACGAGCACTTTACCTTCATACATCCGGCAGAGTAAGGGTCTATGACAAGCTTTCCTCGCAATTCGCTGTCAATAACGATGTGCGACAGGGCTGCCCTATGTCCCCATTCCTCTTCAACTTCGCAACCGAAGACGTTCTGTCGAATGCCCTAGAAGGTTTCCAACATTTTGGCCTAGAGCTTCTACCGGGTGAGCGCGTGACCGACTTAGATTATGCTGATGATATCGCCTTACTTGGTGACGATCCTCAGGGTATGCAACTCATTCTGGATCGTTTGGCGGTTGAAGCATCTAAGTATGACATGACCTTCGCCCCATCGAAGTGTTAAGTACTGCTCAAGCAGTGGCTTTCACCTGCTCCCGTGCTCACTCACCAAGGTGCACAACTTGAACAGGTAGATAGTTTCGTCTACCTTGGGAGCTGTGTTTCCGCTAACGGTACTAGCAACAAAGAAGTTTCGCTTCGTATCGCTAAAGCTCGATCAGCATTTGTCAATCTTAGGCACTTGTGGCGTCGTCGCAACGTCTCATTCTCATTAAAGGGCTGCATTTACAGCGCATCAGTTCGCTCAGTATTGTTGCATGGGAGCGAGTCTTGGCCGATTCGCGTGGAAGACATGCGTCGTCTTTCTGCATTCGATAACGGTTGCTTAAGGAGGATCGCTCGTGTTTGGTGGCAACATCGAGTTAATAGTAATGACGTTCGACGTCGCATCTTGGGGAATGCAAGTATTTCCTTCAAAAAACTGGTTTTGTTGCGCCAGTTAAGATGGCTCGGTCATGTCCTGCGCATGGTACCTGAGCGTCTACCGCGTCGCGCTCTATTCGCTCGTCAAGGACCTGGATGGAAGCGACCGCGCGGTGGTCAGCCATCCACTTGGCGGCAGCACATAAAATCGCTGACGTCGTGTCTAGCCGCTGTTGGATCCGTACGTCTTCCAGGATGGGGACCCAAAGATGAGGAGTGCCAAGGGCTTAGGACACTTAAAGACATGGCCCGCAACCGGAATCAGTGGAAGAATTGTGTACAGTGTCGTATTGATTCCCACGTTTAATACTAACAACATTGAAAATGACAAAAAAAGAGAAAAATACGCGTGCGACAAACAAACTAAAAATGTTTTGTTCTTTATTTTTGTCAAAATGTTCCATTCTTCTTGCGGCATATTAGCTGTAGTGTGTCGCCCACCTTCAACTAGCATGCC